ACTAGATTTGATTAATTTTTACAAGTATGTCAAGTCAAAGAATATGCTTATGTTGAATAATAATTTAAGCGTGTTGTACTTTCCTGTTGAAGTGTAGGCAAGTTGATTAATGTAAATAGTCACATTGGTATAAGTATCTCTACAATTTGAATTTTATTTGGTGCATTAAGTAAGCTATTTAATTATTAGATTTTGACATCTTAAGGAAATCCTGCCAGTGTTTTTAACATATTAATAAATCCGAGTTGCTAGACCTAGTTTTGGAGCTTTGTGGTCTGTTGAACAATTTGTTTTTAAGTGGAAAGAATAGTACCAACAAATCAGGAACAAGTTATCAACCAGATTGTTATTGTCTGCTGCATTTTGGATGTTTTCAGGAAGTTGAACACTGCCCGCCCCCAAACTACACATACTTTTCCCAAGAATAATCTAACTGGCTATCGTGACTTTATTGGCAAAATGTTCCTTTGCCAGGTGTAAATCTGTTACTTAATCAGGAGAACCACATCTTATAACTTGACAGCTGTTTATTGTTCATTGCAATGAAGTCAATTGAGTAAACATAATTATTAAATAGATGACAAAATACCACACTAATCTCTGACTCATAGAATCTGAATGTATTTCCAAGGTATTGTTTATTTTTATAGCTCTTAACACCTTCTCATTTTGTCATTCACTACTCAAAATTACTCTCATTTTATGCTTTGTGAATCTTCTGTAGTGTCGTATTTAAGAACATTTATTATTGTTTTATAAGATTTATACCCAAATATATTTCTACAATCATTCTCAATTTTTTAGAATTGCTTTTTAATTTGTATAGTATTGACATACAATCAGTTTGACATATAGTATTTAAGAAAGAAACATGACAAAATTTAAAACAATAGCTAAACTTTTTAACCAAACTCTTGAAGTCCATCAACTTAGAACCCAATTAAAAAGTCAACATCAAAAGCCAAAGTGTGGATGGAAAAGGAAAGTAGGGGTGTTGATTGTGACCTTTCTCATGAATGTTAAGGGATACCTCTAAATCAAAAACAACAACACATATGTTGGGGGAAAAGTATCATGTTACTTAAGAAGAAAAATTAAGAGTGCTATATAAGAAAATTGTTTGGTCAATATCTTATAGTTTTTTCACATAGATTTGAAAAGGGGTGTGTGCGCACATGTATATAATTTATAGAATTTAATGAAACCTTCAAATGGGATGAATTTTATTCTTACAGATGGTTAAAAGAGTATGTAATATGTAAACATTTATTATAATGAGGCTACCAGTTCTTAAAGTTTTTGTTATTTCATGAATAATACATGAGTAGAAAACAAAAGTAATTTAAGGGCATGGTAGCTCATGCCTATAATCCTAGCACTAATCCTAGCACTAATCCTAGGAGGGGGGAGGATCGCTTGAGGCCTTGAGGCCAGGAGTTCAGGATCAGCCTAGGCAATAGTGAGGCCCCTCTCTACAAAATAAATAAATAAAAATTAGTGGGGTATGTTGGGAGTGTGCCTGTAGTCCCAGCTACTTGGAAAGCTGAGGCAGGAGGATTGCTTGAGCCCAGGAGTTGGAGGCTGCAGTGTGCTATAAAGACACCACTGCATTCTAGCCCTAGCAACAGAGACTCTGTCTGGAAAAAAAAAAAAAGAAAGAAAGGAAAAGAAAGAAACAGGCGCTCCCTTCCTCATCCTAATTCGTGTTCTCCCAGAGGCAACCAATTTCTTCCGCTTTTTCCCCCACCAATTTCATATAGTACCTATTCCTTTCCTACTATAGCAGGCAATTATTTCTCTCTTAGAATGGCCATTCCCCCCCCCAATCATTGCTCATGTGGAAATCATCTTGTTGGCTTCGTTCCCACTGTTTCTTCTAGAACTTTTATAGTTTTAGCTTTTAAGCTTAGGTCTATGATTTCAAGTTAATTTTTGTGTGTGATGTAAGAGTTAAGATTTTTAGAGGTCCTCTCCCCACCATATGTCTGGCTAGTTGTTCCAGTGCTGTATGGTGAAAACTCTTTCTCCACTGAATGACCTTGCCTCCTATCAAGCATCAGTTAGTCATGTGTGTGGGGTCTCTTGAACTTTCCTGCTTCCTTGATCTGTGTCTCTATCCTTGTTCTAGTACTACGTCTTGATTCCCATAGTCTTGGAATCAAATGGTAGAGGTCCTTTAACTTTATGGTTCTTTTCAAATCTGTTTTGGCTATTTTTGGTCCTTCATATTTTTATATAAATTTTATTTTTATTTACATATAAATTTTAAAATTGGCTTGTCAGTTTCTACAAAAAAAAGCTTGCTTGGATTTTGATTGGGATCACATTGAATCTATAGAGCAATTAAGGGAAAATTGAGACTGTAACAGTGTTGGATCTTCTAATCCATGCTCATGTTTTCTCTGCATTTATTTAGCTCTCTCTTTGGTTTTCTCAAAATGTCTTGTGGTTTTCAGTGTAAACCTCTTACACATATTTTGTTAAATTTAACCTTAAGAATCTTAAGCATTTTATGTCTTTTGAGGTTATTATCATAACTTCATTTTTCAATTTATTATTCCTTTTTTGTTTATTTCTGAGAATCTAATAAGTATACAATCATGTCATCTGGAGACAATAATGTCATTTGAAGCAGTTTTACTTTTTTATTTTAAATCTTATTTCATTGTTAGGATCTCAATATAATATTAAGTAGAAAAAATGAGAATGGACATCATTACCTTGTTTCTGTATTTAGGGAGAAAACATTCAATTGTTTACTAGTATTATGTTAGCTGCAGATTTTATTATGGATTGCCCTTTATCAAATTGAAAAGTTTTTTCTATTTCTAGTATGCTAAGAGTTTTTGTCACAAGTAGTTAAATTTTGTCAAATGCTTGTTCTACCTCTACTGAGATAATATGGTTTTTCTTTAGTCTATTTATAAGGCAGATTACATTGATTTTTTTTTTTTAAGAAATCCTACTGCCTCAACCTCCTGACTAGCTAGGACTATAGGCTGGTACCGCCTTGTCCAGTGAAAGGGGAACTCCTTCTAATACACTATTGGTGGGAATGTAAATTAGTAGAGCCATTATGGACAACAGTATGGAGGCTCCTCAAAAAAGTAAAAATGGGCCTGGCGTGGTGGCTCACGCATGTAATCCTAGCGCACTCTGGAGGCAGAGGCGGGCAGATTCCTGACGTAGGAGGTTCGAAGACACCGAGCAAGAAGCCCTGCTCTATATACTAATAGCCAGAAAATAATTGGCCAACTAAAAATATATAGAAAAATGAGCATGGTGGGCATGCCTGTATCCCAAGCTACTCAGGAGACTGAGCAGAAGGGATTTGCCCAGCCCAGATCCTTGAGGTTGCTGAGTCATGCTGACGCCCAGCCCCAGTCTACCCCGGGCAGAGAGTGAGACTCTGTCTCAAAAAAAAAAGTAAAATGAAACTACCATATGATATCACAATCCCACTACTGGGTGTATATCCAAAGGAAATGGAATCAATATGTCAAACAGACATCTGCCCTCCTGTGTTTATTGTGGCACTATTCACTATATCCAAGATATGGAATCAATCTTAGTGTCTATCAACACATGAGTGGATTAAAAAAGATTTGGCATATATATACATGGAATACTATTCAGCCATAAAAAGAATGAAATCTGGCCGGGCACAGTGGCTCACGCCTGTAATCCTAGCTCTCTGGGAGGCCGATGCGGGTGGATTGCTCAAGGTCAGGATTCGAACCCCTGAGCAAGAGCGAGACCGTCTCTACTATAAATACAAAGAAATTAATTGGCAACTAATCATATAGAAAAAATTAGCCGGCATGGTGGCACATGCCTGTAGTACCAGCTACTCGGGAGGCTGAGCGCAGTAGGATGCTTGAGCCCAGGATTTGAGGTTGCTGTGAGCAGGCTGATGCCACGGCACTCACTCTAGCCTGGGCAACAAAGTGAGACTCTGTCTCAAAAAAAAAAAAAAAGAATGAAATCCTATTGTTTGTGACAACATGGATAAACCTAGAGGGCATTACGTTAAGTGAAATAAGCTAAGCAGAGAAGGACTAATATCACATGATCTCACTCATGTGGGATCTAGACAAGTTGGTCTCATATAAGTGAGAGGTTAGAAATGTGGTACGCAAGACGCCCGGCGGAGGGCGGTAAGGGAGCGCTAGGGAGGGGCAAAGATTGGTCAATGGGTACAAAGTAACAGATAGGAGGAATAAAACCAGCAGAGTGGCTTGCTTGCATCTGTAATCTCAGCTACTCGGGAGGCTGAGGCAGAAGGCTTGCTTGAGCTTCGGAGTTCAAGGCTGTAATGAGCTAGGATTAGGCCATTGCACTCCAGCCTGGGTAACAGCAAGACCCTGTCTCTAAAAAAAAAGAAAAAGAAAAGTTGAAAAAGTTTTACAGTAAAAACTGTGTGTCCATTCCTTGATTACGCCATTAATGTTTTGCTCTACTTGCTTTGTCACGTGTCTTTTCATCTGTCTTATTATTTTGATGGATTTAAAAGTCAGTTGCAGGCCAGGCGCAGTGGCTCACGCCTGTAATCCTAGCACTCTGGGAGGCCAAGGTGGGTGGATCACTCAAGGTCAGGAGTTCGAAACCAGCCTGAGCAAGAGCAAGACCCCGTCTCTACTAAAAAAATAGAAAGAAATTAGTTGGCCAACTAAAAACATATAGAGACAAAAATTAGCCAGACATGGTGGCCCATGCCTGTATTCCCAGCTACTCAGGAGGCTGAGGCAGGAGGATCACTTGAGCCCACAAGTTTGAGGTTGCTGTGAGCTAGGCTAACACCATAGCACTCTAGCCCAGGCAACAGTGTGAGACTCTGTCTCAATAAAAACAAAAAAAACTCAGTTGCAGACTTCAGTACACTTCTCCCCAAATACTTGAGCATGTCTATCCTTAATTAGAAATCAATGTTTGCTTGGAGTCTTTTTCTTTTCTTTTGAGGTAAAACTTATACAATATAAAGAAAAGCTTGGCAGTTCCTTTCTCCATCAGCCAGGAAGGACGTGTTGAGGTGAGCATACTCATCAAGGACAGTAACTACCATGGCTTCCAGCACTTTGGCGAAACCTCAGATGCGTGGCCTCCTGACCAGGCGTCTGCGGATTCATATTGTTGGAGCATTCTTCATATCCCTGGGAGTTGCAGCTTTGTATAAGTTTGCTGTGGCTGAACCAAGAAAGAAGGCATATGCAGATTTCTACAGAAATTATGATTTTATGAAAGATTTTGAGGAGATGAGGAAGGCTGGTATCTTTCAGAATGCAAAGTGATTTTGGAAAATAAAATAATTTCTTTGGGTTGATTTACATGGAAGTTTGTCACTGACCTGTGTTCCTGAGCTATGGATATGTGGACTGAGGAATAAGTTTCTCTTGATAAATAAACCATTAACGGCCCGGGGCAGTGGCTCACACCTGTAATTGTAGTACTCTGGGAGGCCCAGGCAGGTGGATTGCTCAAGGTCAGGAGTTTGAAACCAGCCTGAGTAAGAGCGAGACCTTGTCTCTATTATTATTATTTTTTTATTCTTTTTTTTTTGTTATCTTTTTTTTTTCTTTTCTTTTTTTTACTTTATTTTATTTTATTATAAATAGAAAAAAATTAATTGGTCAACTAATATGTATAGAAAAAATTAGCCAGGCATGGTGGCACATGCTTGTAGTCCCAGCTACTTGGGAGGCTGAGCACGAGGCTTGCTTGAGCCAGGAGTTTGAGGTTGCTGTGAGCCTAGGCTGACTCAGGCACTCACTCTAGCCTGGGCAACAAAGCGAGACTCTGTCTCAAAAAAAAAAGAAAAGAAAAGAAAAAAAAGATAAACCATTAACAAATACAAAAAAGAAAAACTTTTTTTTTTTTTAGACACGAGTCTGCTTTGTTGTCCAGGCTAGAGTGAGTTGGCCATGGCGTTCAGCCTAGCTCACAGAAACCTCAAACTCCTGGCTCAAGAGATCATCCTTCTGCCAGCTCCGCCGATAGCTGGACTACAGGCATGCGCTACCATGCCCGGCTAATTTTTTAATATACTATCAGTTGGCCAATTAATTTCTTTCTATTTATAGTAGAGACGGGGTCTCGCTCTGCTCAGAGCTGGTTTTGAACTCCTGACTTGAGCAATCGCCCGCCTCGCGCTCCAAGAGCTAGGATTACAGGCGTGAGCCACCGCGCCCGGCCAGAAAAACTTTTAAGTGTAACATTAAATGAGTTTGACAAAGGTATTCTCCTGTGATCCAGACTCTTATCAAGGTAAGCATAACCATCATTTCTAGAAGGTTCCATTTTTCCCTTCCCAGTCATTCTTTTTTTTTTTGAGACAGAGTCTCGCTTTGTTGCCCAGGCTAGAGTGAGTGCTGTGGCGCTCAGCCTAGCTCACAGCAACCTCAAACTCTGGGCTCAGCAATCTACTGCCTCAGCCTCTTGAGTAGCTGGACTGCAGGCATCGCGCCACAATGCGGCTAATTTTTTCTATATATATTAGTTGGCCAATTAATTCTCTTCTGTTTATAGTAGAAGGGGTCTTGCTCTTGCTCAGGCTGGTTTTGAACTCCTGACCTCGAGCAATCCGCCGCCTCTAGCCTCCAGAGTGCTAGATTACAGGAGTGAGGCCACCGCGGCTTCTATTTATTTTTATTTATTTCATTTATCTATTTATTTATTTATTTATTTATTTTGAGACAGAGTCTCACTTTGTTGCCCGGTTAGAGAGTGCCCGTGGCATCAGCCTAGCTCACAGCAACCTCAAACTCCTGGGCTCAAGCAATCCTACTGCCTCAGGCCTCTCGGAGTAGCTGGGACTGCAGGCATGCGCCAACATGCCTGGCTAATTTTTCTATATATATTAGTTGGCCAATTAATTTCTTTCTGTTTATAGTAGAGATGGGGTCTTGCTCTTGCTCAGGCTGGTTTTGAACTCCTGACCTTGAGCAAGCTGCCCGCCTCAGCTTCCACGAGTGCTAGGATTACAGGCATGAGCCCGCACCCGCCTCCTTCAATATTCTTGCCTTCCAGATGCAACTATTATATATACTATATACATATATATGTGTATATGTATTATAATATACATATCTACGATTCTTTTTTTTTTTACTATAAATTGGTTTGCCTATGCTAGAACTCAAAGCCAGCTTCATGGGCATGCAGCCAATGTAGTAACATAGGATCCCATGCTTAAAAGGAGACCACACTTGGTTTAATGCTCTTTTGTCACCATTTTGAAGTTCTTAAGGATATTTTAACAAGGGAGCTCACATTTTCATTTTGTACTGAGCCCCAGAAATTATATAGCTGGTCCTGCTACCACTTTCATATAAATGGAATTATACCTATGTATTAATAATTTTTCATTTAAAGCTTCTTTTGCTCAGCATAATGTTTTTGAGATTCATCATGTTAATATTTATTGATAATTTGTTCTCTTTTATTACTGAGCAGTCAGTGTTTTCTATGAATAATATCATAGTTCACTTATTCATTCTCCTATTGGTGGATACTGAGAAGTTTCCTGTTTGGAGCTATTATGAATAAAGTTACCATGAACATTCTTGCACAATTCTTTTTTGTGGACACAAGAATGCCTTAGACAAGATGTCTAAGTCCTCCATACATGGAGGACTATTGAATTTTAGATAGGATGTTCTTCCTAACATTTCAAGGAGATTAGTCTTCAGCCACTCAATCCCCTCAGTCATTTTGACAACCCAAAAAAGCCTCCACTCATTTCCAGCCCTCTGGGAAGGCAGTACCACTTTTGATTGAGAGCTGCCTTAAATAATAGCATACCTTGATTTCTGGAATGCATTTGACCTAATGCCTCATATTGCTATTGATAAGATAGGTAAGGTGTGCTGGGAGAATGGGAAGGAGGTCAATGGGGCTGGAAGTGGGTAATTAAGAGAGAAGTTTGAGGGCAGGAGTGATCTCCTGCTAAGCCATAAGGAATGGTAAGGAGTTTGAAGGTTATTCTGATACAGAGAGAGAGTAGAGGACAGGCATGTTTTATGTTGTAAAAAGAGCACTTCTGAGTACTTTGTAGAGAATGGATTGTGAATGTGAGAATGGAGATGAATTAAGAAACTACTGTAGGCCGAACACAGTGGCTCACGCCTATAATCCTAGCACTCTGGGAGGCCGAGGCAGGTGAATCATTTGAGTTCAGGAGTTCAAGACCAGCCTGAGCAAGAGTGAGACCCCCATCTCTACCAAAAATAGAAAAAATTAGCCGAGCATGGTGGCACATGCCTATAGTCCCAGCTATTTGGGAGGCTAAGGCAGGAGGATTGCTTAAGTCCAGAAGTGTGAGGTTGCTGTGAGCTAGGCTGAGACCCACAAAGCACTCTACGCCAGGGCCAAACAGAGTGAGAAACTCTTGTTCTTTTCAAAAAAAAAAAGAAACAATTGAGTGCATCCAGGTGAAGTATTGCTGTCAATTTGGGCAGGATAGGTGTCCTGTGAAAATGGAAGAAAGTATCAATATCTAAGTTAATATTTTTGGGAAGTGAGGAAGCAGATACGAATTTGCTAATTCTACCTGTAGGGATATGAGGGGAAGGGAAGAATCAAAGATGACTTTTAGGTCTTATCGCTTGAGCAGCCTTTTGGAGGGACAATAAGTCGCCCATTTCCTGAGGATGGGAGGGAACTGCAGTTGGAAAGGACTCAGGGGAAAGTGAATCCATTCCCCACCAGAGGATGTTCAAAGTAGAGTGGTTGCATATGCCAAGTCAGTCCCTTGGGATCATCGCAAACAATAGTTGGCATATAGAGCTAAGAGTATGAAGTAATGGAAAGGGAGAGGTGGCTGGACAGAAGAAGAAACAGTTGGAGGGTGGCCCCTTGGCTCTTGAAATTCAGGGTTTTGGTAAGAAGAGGAGGGAGGCAAGGAAAGGAGCTTGCAGGAGCAAGGCCAGTGCACGGGGGAATACAACTAGGGGGAAGGAGTTTTTCCAAAATACCCTGAAAAGCCAAAGAGAAATAGGGGTTTTAAAAATACAGTTTAAGGGTCCAACAGTGAGCTGAAAATGCTTGCCTGTGAAATCAAGGAATGTGGGGGCCACAGAACAGTCCACTGGAAATTTTTGTTATTTTTCAGTTTGGGAATGGTGGCCAGCTGGGAGGAGAAACTGAAGAGAAAAAAAAATGCAAAATCAGGAATAGGGGAGAACAAATTTCCAAGATTAAACTCTTTCCAAAAATTCTTTGCAAGGGGGAATGGGGAAAAGGGTAGTAAAGTGAGAAAAGAGGCTCAGGGCGGGCTGCTCATTTTGAAAGATTAATAATAGGCATGTTGAATGATGAAAATGAGCCTGGCGAGAACGAAGAATGGGCGACATGGGAAAAACAGGGACTAAACTGAAGGAGGGCATTCCTCGAGGAAGGAAAGAGAGGTGAAGGAGGAGACCCAGAGCGCTATGGAGGGGCCCGGGCCTTGAAGAGGACAGCCGATCTGCTATGGTTGAGGGCAGTAAAAGAGGCAGTGGCAGCTTTGCATGGAGCCTAACTGCGGCGTGGGAGAATGAAAAGAGTTCTTGCTCCGACAATTTTCAAAAACAACTACAGGAAGGTTTGAGGTCACCAGCTTGAGAGCCAGGGTAATGGGGAGCAAGGAGAACACAGAAGTTATTATTTTTTTAAATTTTTATTCCTGAAATAATTTTTTTTTTTTTTTTTCTTTTGGAGACACGAGTCCACTTTTGTTGCCCCGTACAGAAGGTCTGGTGGCGCAGGCCTCGTCATGCAGAACTCAAACTCTGGGCCTCAAGCATCCATCCTCGCCTCAGCCTCCTGAGTAGCTGGGACAATACAGGCCATTGCCCACCATGCCAGCTTAAATTTTTTTCTGTATATTTTTAGTTGGCCAATTAATTTCTTTCTATTTTTAGTAGATATGGAGTCTCACTCTTGCTCCAGCTGGTTTCAAACTCCTGACCTTGAGCAATCTGCCCACCTTGGCCTCCCAGAGTGCTAGGATTACAGGCTGAGCCACCGCACCTGGCATGAAATAATTTTCTATCTATAGAGGAGTTGCAAATATAGGACAGAAAGTTTCCATATGGCCTTTACCCAGTTACCCCTAATGTTATTAATGATATTTTACGTAACTGTGATACCTTTATCAAGAGTAAGAAATTAACATTGGTATGGTATTACTAAGCCATAGACTTTGTCTGGAATTTCCCAGTTTTTCCCATTACTGTCCTGTCACTATTGCAGGATCCAATCCAGGATCCCACATCGAACTTAGTCATTATATTCCTTAGTCTCCTCTAATCTA